TTAAGAGAGCTATGTTGACACATCTGGGAAAACCCAAATCTAAAAACTTCCCGGTTTTCCACCCAGTTGAAAATTCAAGATCTTGCCCCCACACCCACAAGTCCATCACATGGTCCAAACGTTCACTGCTGTGCTGGCAGCTTTCACCCATCCAGTTCCGATCAGATGCAGAGGTGCAAGGATAAAGGATGACCTTGGATTTCTAGAAAGACTTTTGTTATGGCTACATATCATCTGACTCCATACAATCCTTCCTCCCATTTTCCCACAGTAGAAAAATGTATGGTACAATAATAGAAAGTGTGTCAGGCCAGAGTAATCCACTTGTATGGCTGCAGGCCTGACACTTTTTGCTAATACTCCGATATGATGGTGGTGCTACAGTTAGAAAGTAATGAAATATGAACCAAATAGTAGTGCACAGATGATGTACTATCTGTTCACAGCACTTTATAGATTCTGTAGACGGGATATTCATTAACACATGTGGAATACAAATCGTTCTAGGTTTTTTTTCCCCTGATGGACATGTTAAAGATGGATCATTCTTGAGTTTTGAATATTTGGAATGATTTTTTAGAAAAGGAGGTTGAGCAGCAAAAAGAGGGAGGGTTCTGCATAGTGTGCTTTGCATCCTACTTGCTGCTAAAGCCCATTTCCTTCTTGCATTGTTGGGTCAAATCTTGCTCTAAATCCTCAGATCTGACATCAGTACAGGTTAGTCCTCTACTTACAACAGTTTGTTTAGTGATCATTTGAAGTTATAACGGCACTGAAAAATTTATAACCTATTTTCACACTTACAACTTTTGCAGCATTCCCAAGGTCACGTGATAAAATTCGGAAGCTGGGCAACTCTTTCATATTTATGATAGTTGCAGTGTCCCAAGGTCACAGGATCACCTTTGTGACCTTCTGACAAACTCAGTGGGAACGCCCGATTCACTGAACAACCACATTACTAACTTAACAACTGCAGTGATTCACTTAACAACTGTGGCAAGAAAGGCCGTAAAATGGAGCAAAACTTACTTAACAGATGTCTCACTTAGCAACATAAAATGTTGGGCTCAGTTGTGGTCGTAAGTTGAGGACTACCTGTACTGCTTAGCCCTGGCCCTTGGGGAACAGCTATCAATTAGAATGAATGCTGTTGTAGGTTGTGAGATACTAACTGATAGAACAGTTGCATTGTACTACCGTAGGTGCAATATGGCTTCTTTTAGAAATGCATCTGGAAATGCTTCCGTTTTGACTGTCATCCTAGACGTGGTCCAAGTGAAAGGGCAGAAGTACATAGGTTTGATGAAACGGAATGCAAAAGGCAGAGGGGCAATAAATAGAAGTAACCAGAGCTCTTGGACACCTGCACTAATCTCATTTCATTCATTCTGATTTAATATCCTGGCTGAGAGAGTGATGTCATGCCACAGCGGTATGGGAGAGGTAGTGTTGCATTAACTCTCTGCATCTCAGATTGACAAAGCGATCCTGAAAACTCATATTTCAATATATTTTTTTAGTAGTTATCTAGTCATAGGGAGAAATAGCTATCGAATGGAGCTAGTAGTGGACTTTTTGCTTGCTTTCAATCTGATACTTATTGCTGGAGGGGGGGAAACATTGTTAGATCCAAATTAGGAGTTAATGAAAGCAAGTCTCCCACAATGGAAGAGTTTTTTTGGAAATAGTTATGTAGCTAAGGAGTGCACGAGCTGTTTAAAAAAAGGAAGGAAAAAAAGAAACTGAAAAATATGATTCAGATATAGTTTTCACTAAAGTTGCTCAAGGATCTGTTCAGAAATGAAATCCTGCCATCTCTGTCTAAATACCTTGACCACCCACTCAACATATAGACACATTTTCCTAATTAACCTATACAAGGGGCTGCTTAATTGGCCAGTTACCAGAGCATGAATTAGAAAAGATATTTTTTATGTACTTGAGTAGGAGCTAGAGAGGGGGGGGGGAGAAAGGTGCTGAAACACTGCCAAAATGACATAGATCTCAGTCAACCGTAAAAACCCAGCTTCTGAAATGGCAGTGAATTACAACCAGAGATGATTGATGATGGACAAAGGAACAAGATCTAAAATTATGGGATCAGTGCTTTTGAAAGAACCCTAAGAGTGATTGGTTCAGTCAATGGTCTTTAAATAGTGGTTCAGGGATAAATCCGATAGCTTATTAGGTGTTCCTCAATTAGAAGACACATCATGCTTCCTTCAGACACACTACAAAACTCTTAGAAGTGTGCAAAGATGGGAAAGTCTTCTATGTGGTTTAGATCCATAGCATTCTATCTTTTAAGACCTGGGATACATCTTCAATTCAGCAATGCCTGCAGAACCCTTTTTCTCTATATTTTTTAAATCGTGGATCTGGCACAAACTTTTGTATGTTGTGGGGCTTAATCCATCACTTGAAAAATTAATATTATATTCTTGTTTCTCAGAAGATTATAGTTAATTCAGCATGTCTAAGCTGTATCTGAAATGATGCGATAACACACATGGGAAAATGCTTCTCAGTTTTCTGCAATACAGTAGACTTTCCTTGATGGAAAAATCGGCACAGGAGTGGTTTCTAGAAATAAACATTTTTTAAAAATCATTGCTCAAAGCAATGACTTGGACTCTCTTAAACCAGGATATAACAACACTGGCAACTGTTCAGCCTGCCGTTTGTCAGATGACAAATCTCGCTCACATGTGAGTGCTAAAGATTGTCAAGAGGACTATTTATAAAAGAGGAGTAAAATTATCCCTCAAAGCCCTGACTAAATTCCAGTCCAGGTAGTTTATTTCCTGCCTTCCTAGAATTACACGCATGCACACACACACACACGCTCCACCTACCCCCTGCAGATTCCATTTATTTTATTTAGCCCTGTCTGTTTATCTGCTCCTTCCCATCACTAAGATACTGAGTTGTTTTGTAATCAGTTAAAAATGTGCACGCTGGAAGAAACCTTATGCTGCTTGCTTATGCACTGGGAATGGTGATCTGTAAAACACCAAAAGAGTAATGTCAAAAAAATAACAGGGTTCTCTACAGAGACTTGGGGTTTTCGTTAGATAGCATAGATTCTGTAAACTGCTGGAATCGATGAGTGATAAACAGACAATCTTTTAGAAATAGAAAAAGAATGGTGAAGGGAAAGTCCAACCACTGTCATTACAGTAAGCACTGAAAGAATGAAGTGATTAATGCATATGATAAATGAGCTGACTCATTAATCTCTGGTTTAAAATGTGGATTTTTATTGGAGCGTGCAATATATGCAAACTGATGCTTTGTCTTGACAGCAACTTTGTTGTAAGTATCCCTCATCTCTTGCTTTAGATAATACAGTTATTTACCAAAGTCTTAAGTAATTTCCCTGGTTGGTTTATATAATTCTTTTCTAGTATTCATTCATAAAAATAGTATATTTCTCCAAGGAGCCAGAATTCCTATTTGAACAATATGTTATAAGTCTGAAGACTTCCTAAAAATATTTAGTTGTTCTTTTGAGAGGCTTTGATTGATTCTTATTGGATTTAAATTTATTAAAGTTGTTTCTAGAATTATGGAACTTAGGTCTGAGGTTAATTTTCCAGTTTGTTTTGCTGATTTCTTTTTTATCAATCTGGCTTAAAGAAAGAAGAAAGAATTGCATCCGTTTGAGTTTTGATTTTTAAAAAGTGCAAAAGCTATGGTGGCACAGAAATTAGAATGCAGTATTGCAGGCTAACTCTGCCCGCTGCCAGGAGTTTGATCCTGACCGCTCAAGTTTGACTCAGCCTTCCATCCTTTTGAAGTCAGTAAAATGAGGACCCAGATTGTTGAGGCAATAGGCTGACTCTGTAAACTGCTTAGACAGGACTGTAAAGCAATGTCTTTTACTTACATACCACATACGAAGTGGTATGGTACATGTCAGAATTTAAAGAAAAGTCACAAAATAATTATAGGAGAAACAAAAATATAATGTAGGGGAACTATTGTAAAAATGTGGATTTTTCTAATAACATTTATATGTATATTTTTAAGTTTCAAAAAGATGTAAAAGGGATCAAATGAACTAAGGAGGAATGAGAAATTGAAGTCAACAAATTAATTCATTTCTCTAACCATAATTTCTTTGCTCATTCTCTTTCTCTTTTTCACATTAATATTTATTTAATTATGTTTCTTAACTAAGTAATAATTTTATAATATTGAGGTATGATGTATGTGTATGAAATTCTGTTTTATGAAACAGAGTTGTAAGAAAGTTTTACCAAATAGGAGATCAGGAAACATTTAAGAGAGATGAAAGGGATATTAATGCAATACCTCATACAGCAACTCCCCACTCAGCAACTACCTTAGTTAACTATCATTTGCAAATACAATGATAATAACTAGTAGTAAAATAAATTCATGCAATGTGTGCACTTATAACCACATTTCTGCACCCGACAATCAGAAACATCGGGGTGAGAGTAACCATGGTGCGCAGATTTTATTTGAATGAGCTGGAAGCAACCAGCAATCTTTGCAGTGTCTCTTCTCCTCTGTCTCCGAGTTATGTGTTCACCTAGGGACCATTTACTTACTAACTTACTCACTTAGTAACAAAATCTCTGAAACAGATTGCAGTTGCTAAACAAGGAGACAGTGTAGTAGGCAAGTAAAAAGATGGTTAAAGTGTATGAGAATGCAACATTTTGACAAAGTCTAACGTCATAACAACTATAGCAATATCCCCAAGAGCCATATTTGACTCATAGCTAATGTCTAAGAAATCTGTTACAAAATCAATCATTTGCTTTTATATGCATGTGTAATGTTTTCATGAAAACTAAGGGCTATTTTTAGACTAAAATTGAAATGTTCTGTCACCAGATGGAAAGTTTAGTTCAATGTTGAAGCGATAGGTTATTAGAAGGAGTATAGAATGCTACAGATAAAATGCAGTTAATGAAAAAGAATCATTCCTCCTAATTCATATTTCCTTCCCTTCCTTCTTTCAGGGGGCTTTGCCACCTTCTCGTCTTGTTTCCCAGGACTCTGTGAAGGAAAACCAACTGCCATCCTGCCAATGAGTATCTCTCAGCCATGCTTGCCAGTGGCCAATGTTGGCCCAACACGCATCTTGCCTCATCTCTATCTAGGTTCCCAGAAAGATGTCTTAAATAAGGTACTCTATGACATTGAGGGAGATGGGCTTGTCTTGTAGAATCTGTATCTTCTTCTGTAAAAGGGTCATTGCCAAGAAGAGGCATTTGCTGCCTGTGCGTCACCATACATCATCCCGTCAAACAATAGTGTCTTTCTGGACCTATGGAGTGTGCAGAGACAGAGACTTCATAGGCTTCCCCTGAAGCATTAAAGGCATTAGCAGTGGGAATGTCAGGATGGTGAGGCTGTCCCTAAGAAATGTTATATGAGGGGAGCCAGTTTTGCATGCCAGTGTACGGTGCCAGCCAGGCTAAAGAACAACATTGACCTCAGCTTTTCCATGTCCAGCCAGGGGATGAGATATTAGCCTTGGCATTCAGCTGTGACTGATGGTAAGCTGAGGTGCCAAGGAGTGTAGGCAGTGCAGCCTACAGTTGCAAGAGAGAGAAAAAACAAATCCTTTGAGAGGGCCCCCAAATGCATAAAGATGAGCATTGGGAATGGAAGAGAGGGAGGGGAGAGCAGCACTGTCCTTTCAAAAGGTGCCAGAATGCTTTGGCTATGATAGGTCTGCAGGAAAGAAAGAATAAGAAAGAAGTCATTATTACAATATCAGTGGGCATGTATCCCAGGCCAGAGGGAGCCAGTAGTGTATTGCTCACAGGGAAGGTGGGAGGAAGCATCTAAATTAGAGGTGCAGAAAGGAAGAAAATAACATTTTTTATACAGGGAGTAGAAAGACACAAGAATGAAAAAATGTTAAGAATGTAAGCTTGGGAGTTTGGCTGGCTCCTAGAATCTGAGGTTACAATTTATTGCACAGGGACCGTGGAGAAAAATGATAAACCCAACACGTTGCTCTTGAAACATAGGAACCCGTCTGTGATGTATTTAGTTTTGGTTTTTTTCCCTTCACTGTAGCAAAACAATACTCGGAATATCCTAATGCCCTATGATTTAATCCATGGAAATGTCTCGTAGCCTTTCCCCAAAGTCCATTCTTCTCTTAGAAGACATGCTGCAAGCCTTTTTTTTTTCCTTTCCCAATGGAAAATATAAGAAGTACATAGATCCGATGCCACCGGTAGTTTATGCCGTAAAGGCATTTTGAATGTCTGAAAATGTTGCTACTGAAAGTGCAGCTGTTTGCTATGACAAGAAGCTGCTAAACTATTTTAAACTGGCAGCTAAAATACATAGAAACCCTGTGGCTACAAAACGTGATGGCAGACAGTCTATTATAGAAGGGAGAGAGAATACAAGAGAGAAATACAAGAATACAAGAGAGAAAGGGGGAAAATGTCTAGCAGGGGAAAGTCTGTAACCTTCCCAACATTGTTGAAGTGCAATTCCTAGCCTTCTTCTCTTTGGCCATACTGACTGTGGCTGCTGAGAACTGTAGTTCGCGATCTTCTGGATTTCCACTGCTTCTTAAAGCAAGAGCATAATCAGAACCTCTGGAAGAACAGGGGAGAAGATTCTGCATTGAATGACAAATGAAAGAACCTAGCTCTTTTTTTCCTCCCCTTCAGGACCTGATGACCCAGAATGGGATCAGCTATGTTCTCAACGCCAGCAATTCATGTCCCAAGCCAGATTTCATCTGTGACAGTCACTTCATGCGCATTCCAGTCAATGACAACTACTGTGAGAAACTGCTTCCTTGGCTGGATAAATCGATTGAGTTCATCGGTAAGACCAGTCTTATTGGTAAAGAGCTCTTGAAGGGGTTTTTCCCCCCATACTTTTTCAGTTTCTTTATTGTCGATGCAAAAGGTTTGGAATGATGACCAAATTGCTCCATCCCCCTTGTCCTGTTCCATTGAGTCCATATTTCAAGATCTATGGCAGAGGTGGGGAACTATGGCCTCTTTATGACTTCTGGACTTTAACTCCCAGGATTCTGGGAGTTGAAGTCCACAGCTCATAAAAGGGCCACAGTTACTCACCCGTGATCTACAGCGTGCAAAATACCAGCCTTTCCTTGGACAGTGGACCTTCTTCCTTTTTTCTCCAGAAAAAAAGGTTCCTGGTGCTGATGCCCAGATGATAACACTAATGTAAATCTGGATATCACAGAGGAACAATTAGTGCTACTTGAGATAATACTGCTCTTTCCTTGGATGAGTATGCTTTTTAAACTTCAGAACAGCCAGGCTTATTCAGATAGTATTTGTTGGTATGTACAAAGAAATAATTTATTTCTTAAGACATAGAATGTAGGCAGTGTTTCAGATTATCTGTGAAAGCACTTTTGATCATCCTGGTACCTTCTGGAGTATTGAATCAACTCCCATAATGAGCTTTAGGATTTAGGAGTGTTGACATCCAAAATATCTAAAGGAAGGAAGGAGGAAAGGGAGAAAGAAAAGGAAGGAAGGAAGGAAGGAAGGAAGGAAGGAAGGAAGGAAGGAAGGAAGGAAGGAAGGAAGGAAAGGTGGATGGAACATTTGCAAACAATTCTGATATTTGTTGATTTATTTAGTTGATGCTATGCTTAAATAAATGAATTCTGTGCCCAGATTTTTAATCCAGGCTTTATTCGTTCCGTAATTTTTATCATGTCAAAACAACACAATATGTTGCAAATGACTGTCAAATAGACAACCATAGTCCAGGCTGTAAGAATGAAATCACCCCCTCATGAAGGATGTATTTGCCTGTTTGGTTACTTTAAATTATTTTAAATTTGCATTATGCAAGGAAAATATATTTCTCTGATTCCCATGTTATATATGGAGCATACATGTGGATTACAACATTTTTTTCATTTCAGACTACTGCTGGCTGGGCTAATTAGAGCTGTAGTCTGAGATCCTCAGATTCCCTCTCCTTGCTCCAAGTTAAATGCAAGGGTTGTGTAACCAGTATGGCAAGCACAGTGAAACCTGAAACGGAATATAATGGAATTTGAAACATTCCATAATTTATATAATGACGCTACTATACAAATGATGTGATTTGCATAAGGAGGTCATTACGCAAATGATGATGCCGTAGTGTTCAGGTTACTAGAATGAACATTTCCCCTCTCCCCTGCCCCTCAGTTAATCAAAACAAGGTTAAAGCAAGTTTTGACTTAAAGTGCAGATTTGTGCAGATATAAATATCTTGTTAATATAGTTTATTGCTTCTTCTTTCTGGTCTGCAAGGGAGAGCAATGTTAGTCTGTAGCAACAAAAACAAGAAGGAAGTTTATGACACATTTTAAGATTTTAGATTTGGTAAGAGAAGTTTTCTTGGAGTTGCCTTTACTTCACCAGATCTGAAATGAGTCTTGGTAGCCTTTAAGGTTTCTGTTTTTGAAGTGACCTCTATCATCTTGTCCTGCAGATAAGGCCAAGGTTTCTAGCTGCCAGGTGATTGTGCACTGCTTGGCAGGGATTTCCCGATCGGCCACCATTGCCATTGCATACATCATGAAGACCATGGGCATGTCTTCAGATGATGCCTACAGGTAAGTCTATTTCCAGAAGAAGATGGTGGTTCTTTTTCCTTTCCAAGGAGAAAGGTTGGTTGGCTGGTTCGTCCCTCCCAGCCAATCCTCAAAAGCTCCTTAGGACAGGTTTTATTTTTTAGATAGCTATTTTTGGAGTCAAGCTTTGTTTTCTCTACATTTCCCCCCCCCCCCAATAAAAAGAAAAATGGAGGCACATCAGTGGTGGGTTTTGAATCCCATTGCAACCGATATGGTTGCAACAGGGCCCGGCATCCATCACATGAACACGTGCAGCGTACATACGTCCTTACTCTTGCAATGCCTCAGCGAGCCTCCGCAACACTCCAGCTGCTCGGCGGAGCGTCACGCAGGAACCATGCACTGTGTGCATGGAAGGACCAAAGAGCTCAAATACAGGCAAGGAGCTCGGGTGGGCGGGCAGGCCCTCTGGAGCTCCGTACCGGAACATTACCCGGTGCTCCGGGCAGGTACCAGTACGCCCGTACCGGGGCGTACCACCTGCAACCCACCACTAAGGCACATAAAAAGAAAAAATACCATAAATATTATACCAGTGAGGGAATGGCCTTTTGTGAAGTTGTAATTCTTAATTCTTTCTTAGTGTAAGCTTGGAAGCTGATTTATGTAACTGTCAGGCTTGTGGTAGCCACTTCAATTTCACCTGCTGATTGGCTCCCATTCTTTGATCATTTGGGATCATTCACATGTAAATTTAGTCATTTTGTGATTCACAGTACATTTGTTTGTTTTAAAAAAAAACTATTGGTAGGGCACATTCAGTGGTGGGATTCAAATAATTTAACAACCAGTTCTCTGCCCTAATGATTTCTTCCAACGATCAGTTCACCAAACTGCTCAGAAAGTTAACAACCGGTTCTCCTGAATAGGTGTCAACTTGCTGAATCCCACCATTGCCCTGGGGTAAAAAGTCAGTGAAAGGGAAAACAAGCTGTGTTGATAATTGCTTTAAATCCATTATTTTGCTACATGAATTTATTTTGTCACTTGCAGTTGATAGCATGGACATATTTGAAAATGGGAAATTTTGCCCAAAGTGTTACAGAACAGGTTATGATAACTGTGAGAGCAATGGAGATGTATTTTGTGTGGGAAATTATGTGAACTGTACTGAAGTGAATGGAGAAATAACTCATCCACTCTCTGGTAAGCTGTCTTTATTTTTTTCTCTTTTCTTTAAACTCCCTTTGCTGTTAGCTATATTAAGCCAGCCAGAATCTAGAGTTTTTTTTTTATTTTAAAAGCTAGGGAATGCTAAGAACATGCTATAGATGTGATGGCATGCAGCCTGCCAGGAACAAAGAAGTGCCAATTTCCAAATAGCTAAAGGTCATAACCAGTCACGAAACCTCAGCTGATTAAAATATACAGGCAGTCCTTGACTTAAAACCAT